GGACTCGGTGGCAGTGTTCACCTCCCACACCCAATAAAATGATCTTTTAATAAAAAATTAAAAAGCAAATCCACAGCCATCAAGTTGGGGCCAACTCCCAGTGACCCCGCCAGGACAGGGAAGAGCTGCCCCTGTGGGTTTCTGAGGCTGTCGTTCTTTACGGAAGCAGAGAGCTTCAAAATGCTGATCTTGGCATTGGCAGCCCAATGCTTAATCAGAGACACCTGGAGGGCTCCTGGGAATGCAGGTAAGCATAGACAGACAGGTGCTCTGGGACAGGTCTGACTATCTATAGAAGCCAGAGGATGCCAGGGCTGCAGAAGCTGAGGCCAGGATGTCCCCAAGGGCACAGAGAGAGAGCCTTCCCCGGGAGACAGCCCAAGAGCCACTGCGGACTCTACACTGCCAAGTTCACGTGCTTCTGTGGGCGCACACCCTAATGAATCTGGCTCTGTTCACGAGAGCCACTCAACGTTGGTCTTTCTGGGAGAGCCAGACAATGATCGACATTCACCGAGAGCCCTGGAGCTGCCGTGGGTGTGCAGAGGCCACCCCCACACCCTCTGGGCTGGGAATGAACCAGATACCACCAGTAACCATCATCAGCCTGGCCCCAGGCGCAGAAACTCACCTTTCACCTACCTCCCCCAGTGACAGTGGGCTGTGCCGATCCACACCAAGACTGGACCCTTGAGCCTTGAAGCCCAGACCCACCTCCTCAGCACAGCGATCCCTCCCTTTTAACCACGCGGCAGCTAGGTACCGTCCGCCCTGTTCCCGCTCAGCCACACGTACACCAGAAGGAACCGCCACCGCCGGTCCTGCACATCCTCACGCTTGTCCCTCTGCCTGAGCCCCTGGCTGCAGCCACAGTGTCTGTCCATCTCATCGAGGGCCTTCCCCTTTTCACTGCCCCTCCACTTTACTAAGCAGCATGTCCTTCCCCAGGGACTGGACTCCTGACAAGAGGTCCCAAGCACAACAAAGTCTCACCATCCTTGTCTGAGGAGCATTCGGCCGTACTTCCTCCAAGACACATCTGTTTGTTCTTCTGACAGTCAGTGGTCCTTCCAATAGTCTTCACCAGCATCATCCTTCAAATGCATCTGTGTTCGTCCGGGTTGACTAGAGAAACAAATTCATAGACACTCACAGGTATATAAGAAAGAGCTTTGTATAAGAGAGCAATTGTATATTGGGGAACAGCCTAGTCCAGATCAAGTCCATAAGTCTGATAGCCCATATGTCCAATACTAGTGCATAAATTCCTCTTTAGACTCATAACCATGCAATGTTGCTGAATGCTGGAAGATCACAGGCCAGTGGGTGGAAAGTCTTGTGGATCCAGTGGCGGTGGAATCATCTCAGCGCTGGCGTGGGTCTCCATATGGCTCCTCCGGGTCCAGGGCCCTGGCTCCATCAGCGTAGCTCCACGTGGCTTGTCAACAGGAATGTGAAGCAGAGAGTGTGTGTCCTGCCCCCAGGGAGGAAGACAGGAGTTCCCAGAATCCTCAGGAGAAGGCCATGCCCACACAGAGGCCTCATTGGCTATGGCCTGATTGACAGGCTAGACTCCACCCCTTCCCTCAAGTTGACAGGAGATGATGTCACTGCCACAAATCCTTGCAAGCTGTTTGACTGGTAAAGGCAGGGCGGGATCAGCAAGTCAAGGGCCCTGAGGCCCTGTGCTCCCAAACAAAGACAGGGAACCAGGCTGGAGAACTGGGAAGCGGTTCAATTTGCAGAGATTGCCTCTCCGAAAGCAAGCCCCCACAGGGGAACAAAGCGAAAACCAATGCAAGACCACCCAGGTATCCTGGTTCCTGGAGTTAGCACTTCCCAGAAGTCCTTAGACACCCTCCCTCCCACAGTGCAGAAGTGAAAGGGGTGGTAAAACTGTTCTCCTGGGGTGTCAGAGACTCAGGTGGAAGGCTCAAAGGCTCCTTTGTTTAGGGGTCAAGGTGACCTTGTATCTTTTGGGTGTTGTTGTTTCCCTCATTATAGGCCTGCTGTTGGGGTGACAAGGTGATGAAGGAGGTGATGGGGATGGTAGTGATGATGGTGGGCCTGATGATGGGGATAGGGGCTGGGAGTGGGAGTGGTGATGGTGACGATAGTGGTGATGTGGGTAGTGATCATGGTAAAGCCAACGATGATATTGATGATGGTGATGGTGATGGGGTTGGGTGGGGGTGGCAATGATGATGGTGATGATTGTGGTAATGATAATGGTGGTGATAGTGGTGATGAGAATGACCATGATGGAGGTAGTGATGGTGATGATAGTGGTAATGCTGATGGCGTTATGATGATGGTGATATTGGTGATGGTGATGATGATGGTGATAATGATGAGGTGTTGAGAATGACCATGATGGAGGTAGTGAAGGTGATGATGGTGATATTGGTGATGGTGATGATGATGGTGATAATGATGAAGGTGTTGAGAATGACCATGATGGAGGTAGTGAAGGTGATGATGGTGATGATGCTGATGGTGATGATGATAACCACAATGGAGGTAGTGATGGTGTTGATAATGGTAATGCTGATGGTGTTATGATGATGGTGATATTGATGATGCTGGTGATGATGGTAATGATGAGGTAATGATGGTAATGATGAGGGTGCTGTGATGACGCAATAGTAGTGATGATGATGATGGTGATAATGACGATGATGGTGAGGATGGTGATGATCACCATGATGGAAGTAGTGATGGCAGTAATTGTGGCAATGGTGATGGTGGTGATAATGGTAGTAATTAAGATAGTGATGATGAAGGTAGTGAAGGTGTTGATAGTGGAGACTTGGGTGTTGCTGTGATATTGAGCAGGTTTCATCGGAACATCCAGCCTTAACAGATGAGGAAGAAAGGCCTGGTGGTCCTACTAAAAATCAGCCAATGAAAGCCCTGTGAGTACCCGAGCTCTTAAAAACTCGAGCTGGTCATTCCAAAGCACAACAATGGTCTCTTCTTGCCTGGAGCAATGGAGGAGGAAGGAGAAGAAGAACAGGAGGAGAATTGGAAGTGTGTGGCTCCTTGCCTCTGCTCACAATGGCCTCCCTGTCTGGGAGACCAAGCGGGACGGTGCCCGGCTACCATTACGGAGCATGGTGGCAGCTGTGGTGCTCAGGGTGGAATTAGGATGGTGGTGATGGTGCTGGTAGGCAGGGTCATGGAGCACAAGGACCTCCTTGTTCTGTCTCCTCCATGTGACACCCCCCTCCCTCTGTCCATCCCTCCAGACCATCCCAGACCACGGGTTTAGGACGCAGCATGGTCACAGAAGAGGCGAGGTGGACAGAGAGTCAGAGAGATTGAGCAAGAGCTAGACTGCGAGGCAGCAAGGCCGAGAGCGGTGAAGAGTCTGTGAGTCACACTAGGTGCCATGAGTCTGCCTTGGGACGGACAGAGATATAGACAGAGATAGGGAGAAAGACAAAGATACAGAGATAGGGAGAAAAACAGAGAGAGATAGGGAGAAAGAGCTACAGAGAAAAGGGAGGAAAGACCGAGATACAGAGATAGGGAGAGTAGAGATGGCAAGCGTGCCCTGCCATGTGGCCACAGGTCTGACTGTTCCAGCGCTGTGCTCTGCCCTGCCCAGGACTTGGGGAGAGGAAGGCCATTCAGCCTGAAGAGCTGCAGTTTCCCTAAGAGGGAAGAGAAACATGCATTGCACACATCACTGCCCCCCACCCCCTGGATTCATGACTCAGCCCATGAAGACAGCTCTGAGCCTCCCTGGGGACACAGGCTTCCTGGTCCTCTCCAGCCAGCTCCACTCCCCCCACCCCACCCCGCCCCTACGACTGCGGTACTGTGGGAAGCCCGCCTCTCCCCACACCCATGGCAGCTCAGTGCAGCCAGGCAGGTGGTGGCCACGGGGTGGGGCCAAGGAGAGCCTTGCTCTGGAAGTAAACGTGGTTGGAAGGAGCTTTGACTTTAAACCCGCATCTCCCTTGTCAGGGATTACAGCGCTTTGCATCAGCAACAAACCACAGCAGCCTGTGTAGGGGCTCCAGGGCAGTAATGAAGCAGCCTTTAAATCCCGTGGGAGCAGACAGCCTCCTCTTTCTCCTAAGGAGCGGTTAGTGGATTTGAACTGCCAATCTTGTTGTGGTTAGCAACCCAATACTTATCTGACAGCTCCTTGGTCTTCACAAATTGTTGTTGTTGTTCTCAGTGATGTTGGGGAAAACAAAGCAAAGCCACACTCCCTGCCATCAAGTCGAGGCTGACTCAAAGCTACAACTGCCCCTGTGAGAGTCTGAGACTGTAACTCTTTACCGGAGTAGAAAGCCCCTTCTTGCTCTCAATGAAGCTGGTGGTGGTGGTTTTGAATTGCTGACCTTTCCGATCGCAACCTAATGCCTAACCACTACTATGCTGAGAGAAGGTTAAATTTTTTTTTCAGAAGGCTGAAATTTTGACTTCTTCATCTGCACCTACATCTGAACGGCTGTCAGGGGCGGGCAAGAGGGGACCAGGGGCTGCTCAGAGACCCCTGAAGTTCTTTCTCCCTGGGGATGTTCCCAAACTCCTGTCCCTCCTGGAAAGCCTCACTCAGCACCTCAGACATCCAGGGAGATACCCACCCTTAAACAGACAGACTGAGGCCCACATGCCCCTCCCAAGTCACCCCAAAGCCCTGCCCTGCAGCGCCCAGCATCTTCCCTCCTCCCCTTGGGCACCCCCCCCCCAACTGCCCCTCCACTACCTGGCTACAACCCAGAGCAGGGCCTTCCAGAAGAGCCCAGTCTGGTCCACCCTTCTCCCTGGCCATCTGGTGTGGTCATTCCTCCCCACCCCCCAACCCCCAGGACAGTCAGACTTTGCCCTCGCCCACCCACCGGGTGACCACCTGACCTCCCTGGTTTGTGCTGAGCAGGGTCCGTTCATGTACTCCAGTCCAAAGGCCAGTATCACCAAGCAGCTGAAATCTTCCCCGGAACTGGCCCATGAGAGTCCACCCCAGGGGACACGAACTGTGTTTTCCTGCCCCGTCGTCCCTGCGGGCCGGCCTCGGCAACCAGCAGAGTGGTTACCAGGCTCTGGTAGCGCCCACGGCTGTGTGCAGTCACCGTTTGCTTGGACCACACGCTGCGCAGACCCTCTGCCGACAGGCCCCAGGCTGCCCACCCAGATCCCGGTGGGCGCTCAGCCATGGCCCTGAGAATGCTATCCAAGCAGTTCTGCATCCAAAGGCCTCGAAAGGTGACCACGGGGCAGGGTGGGCTGGTTCTGGGAGTGAGCTGAGAGGGGTTCCAGAGGACCGTCTTCCATGGCCTCCCCCACCCCTCCCACAATGGACACCCACTCACCTGGTCTAGCAGGCTACATGGCTACATGGGGAAGGCACTTGTCCCCAGGCCACCCAGCTGTGGAGGCAGTGTAAAGCGCCTGAGAGGTGGCCCCAGGAGAAGGGAGCTGGATGACCAGTCACGGGGTGCTTCCACTGCCCTGCCTGGTGGTCAAGCAGCTTCCAGAGCAGGCTGGGGGCTGCCCTCCCTGCACACCCTGGAGCGGAAGGCCTGGGCTTGGCTGTGCTCACAGTGGCCACAGGCGGTGTGGGAAGAAGGTGGGCCCTGTTCCAGGGTCAGCGACCCCTTTTTCAGGCCCAGATATGAGAGGGGGGCTGCAGGAGGCTCTAAGCCCTGGGATATCCCACCTGCCTCTCTGGCCTGAGCACAGTGGGCCTAGAGGGTCCCGCCATAGAAGTCAGATGACAGGGGAAGGGCTTGTGCCTGTCTGAAGGGCCGGGGTCCCAGCACGCAGCAGGCTGGGGCTGGGTGGGGGTCGACTGTCCCTGGGAATGTGTGGTCAGCAGGCTTATAACCGCTTCTGGTTCTGGAATGAAGGGCAGGGGAGAAGCTAGCCCTGGGCTAGTCTGAGGCTGTTTGGCAGAATTAAAATAAATGCTTTTCTTCAGAGACCAGAGGACATGAAGGTCTGAGGGGTGGGGAGGGGTACCCGTAGAGGGACATTCACTGGGGGCAGGGTCTCAGAAAGAGAGGCAACGGACTGGTTCTTGCAGATCAGAATTCTGGGGTCCTCTTTTTCGTGAAGGGCGTGTGGGACTGGGGCTGAGACGCTGACCGTCTCTTGGGTCAGGGTGTACCCCGGTTTGGTACAT